GCTGGTCTCTGGTGCCCAAGGCGGGGCTCCCCGTAATGTCTACAAATAATCCAGTGAAGGAACACCAGAGCGTGGAAAGCGGAGGACGACCGAAAAAGGACTCCCCAGTAGGTTTTCACTTCAAGCTCTAGGGTAAGTAGGGCGCTCGGAGAATTCCAGGAAAACCTCGGGAAAATGTGGGTGAGGCTGAGAGTAAGTTCGCTAATTACTTAAGCCTTGTGCAGCAGTTACTGCGCCGCGGAGGGGTAATTGTGAGGACCCCAAATCTCACATCTTTGTTCCGTCTGGTAGACAAGTATTCTCCTTGGTTCCCGGAATATGGAACCGTGAATGTAAAAGATTGGAACAAGGTCGGATCAGACTTAAAACGAGCACAAGAGGGCCGCGATATTCCCGTCTCTGCTTGGTCTGTATGGTCGGCAGTTAAAACAGCACTGGAGCCCTTGCACACTGAGGAGGAGAAGGAGGAGTTCCAGGATGACATAGGAAAGTTGAATAATCAGGAGTCTAATTATCAGCTAAGTGAACCATGACAGTCTAGTTTAAAAAAGGGCGAGAAACGGGAAGGTATGTATGCTAATCTCCAAAAACTTATAAAAGAAACAGGGCCACCTACTGCGCCTTTAGGGGAAGGTCTGGAATGACCGCCCCCAGGCCAGCCTTAGGAATTTTTGGAAGGGGAGCCTGACAGGCGACTTGGGGCTCCTCCCATTGTTACAGGCCCCGCCAGTAACTATGGTGAAGGGAAGCTTCAGGCTTGTCCAACAGCCAATCTTGATGAGGGAATGATCCAGGCTTGCCCATCTGTTAATTATGGTAGAGGAATGCTGCAAGCTGGTCCAAATACAAATGATGGCACAGGGACAATCCAGGAATCCATTCGCCAGGCACAAGAAATGGGGGATTTGAATGCTTGGCAGTTTCTGGCAATTCTTTCGCCAGCTGAGGAGCCCAGAGAACTTGCTCAAGCATGCTGGGAGCCATTTCCTTTTAAAATATTAAAAGACTTAAAGCAAGCAATTGGACAAGATGGGCCAAATTCTCCTTATGTTCATTCCTTGTTACAATGTGTGGCTTATAACAGACGTTGAATACCTACAGATTGGAAGGCACTAGCCCAATACACCCTGTTCCCCTCTGAATTTCTCCAATTTAAAACCTGGTGGATGGATGAAGCAACAAATCAGGCACGCAGAAACGCTCAAGCCCAACATCCCGTTAATATCACATCTGATCAATCGCTTGGAATCGGACAGGCATGGGGTACTCTAAATCAACAGATGGTAATGGGTGATGAGGCTGTTGATCAGCTCAGAACTACATGCCTAAGAACCTGGGAAAAGAATTCACGACCCTGCTACTGCTTATCCTTCTTTTAACACAGTTCAACAGGGTCCAAGGGAGCCTTATCCAGATTCTATTGCCCGTTTGCAGGATTCGGCTCAAAAGGCTATTTCCGATTCTCATGACAAGAAAGTGATCGTTCAGCTGCTTGCTCATGAAAATGCTAATACAAGAAGGTCAGGCAGCAATTAGACCTATTAAGGGAAAGGCAGATCTAAATGAGGGAAAAACTTTAAGTGAATACATTAAAGCCTGCGATGGCATTGGGGGGCACCTCACCCATCGCGGGGGGTGCCTCAGCCCACTGCGATGTGGATGGTAACAGTGAGGAGGAGAGAGGGGGTTGCTATTACTCCCCATTACGATGTGGATCGTAATAATGACTCCCCCCTGCAATGTGTATCCATTATTAGCAGTCTTTTTAGTTCAGGATATTAGGAACAATTTCATAGGTTGTGTGTACACAGCCTGCGATAGGAGAACGAACACCATCCTCTGCACCTCCGGATATTAGCAACCATATCACACAATGGGTGTACACTTTTTGGGAGATTTGGGATAATGTCGTCCTGTGTTTCCCTGAACAATCAGAGACACATCGCAGGGCGGCTGTACACCTGCTACTCTCTCGGCAGGAACATCATACTACTGGAAATTAGGAACAATATCACACTGGGTGTCAAGCCACTGTCATATTGGAACTAATATCATGCTCTCCCCCACAAGTTATGAGGAACAATATCACAGGGGGGTGTGTACCTTCTCCAGTAGGGGGAGTAGTATCATCATCTCTTCCTTTAGATGACAGGAACAATATCACAGGGTGGGTGTTCACCCCGTGTGTTTTTGGAAGCAATGTCATTCTCTCTTCTTCTAGGTTTTACAATTCATATCACAGGCGGCGTGCACACCCCTTGTTATATTGGATGGAATCTCAATCCTCTTTCAACTTGTATCTCATCCTCTTTCAACTTGTATCTTTAGAACAATGTCCCATGGGGGCTGTACATCTCTTCAATATTGGTAGTAATGCCATCTTCTCCTTTCCTGGACATCAGAAACAAGATCACAGGAGGGGTGTACACGCCTTGCAATATTGGTAGTAATATCACCTCTCCCCTGTGGTTATTAAGGACAAAATCCCAGGGTGGCTGTATGGTTCCTACTTTATTGGGAGTAATATCATCCTCTCACACTCTGGATATCAGGAACGATATCACAGAAGAGTTGTCTACCCCCCTTCGATATTGTCAGCCATGTCATCTTCTTCCCGCCTGGATATTAGGGACGATACCCCGGGGTTGGGGGTGGTGTACACCCACTGCGATATCGAAAGTAAAATCAGCCTCTACCCCGCTGCATATTAGGAACAATATATGGGGAGCAGGGTGGTTACACCCCCTGTGATATCGAGAGCAATATTCTTCTCTCTCCCCTGTACATTAGGAACTACATCACAGGGGTCTGTACACCTTCCGCGATAACGGGATTAATGTTGTCCTCTCCCCCACTGAATGTCAAAAACAATATCACAGAAGGGTGTACACCCTCCACCATGTGGCCAGTAATATCATCATCTCTACCTTTGGATACTAGGAACAACATCACAGAGGGTGTGTACACTCCCCTGCTATATTGGGCATAATGTTATCCTCTCTTCCTCTGGATATTAGGAACAATATCCCTGGTGGTGGGAGGTGGAGTACATTAAGAACAATATCACTGGGTGGGTGTACACCCCCTGCGATACTGGGTGTGGTATCATCCTCTCTTCCCTAGGATATTAAGAACAATATCACAGGAGGGGTGCACAGCCACAGCCTGCAGGACCCTGAGGAGCCCTCCTTCTGCTTGGAAGCTGAGGACGACTGGGAGGACCCGGAGGCCCTGAGCTCACTGCTGCTGTTCCTGAACGCCCCCAGGGACAAGGCCAGCTTCCGTGGCCTGTACGACGTGGCGCTGCCATGGCTGAGCAGCGTGTTCTGCAGCTTTAGCGATGAGGAGGAGCTGACTGGGCGCCTGGCACAGGCCCGAGGGGCGGCCAAGAACGCTGGCCTCCTCATGGCCCTGGCCAGGCTCTGCTTCCTCCTGGGGCAGCTGTGCAGCAGGAGGCTCAAGCTGTCCCAGGCCCGGGTGTACTTTGAGGAAGCACTGGGGGCCCTGGAGGGCAGCTTCAGGGACCTGTTCCTGGTGGTGGCTGTGTACGCCAACCTGGCCAGCATTTACCAGAAGCAGAAGAACTGGGAGAAGTGTACACAGGTGGTTCCCAAAGCCGTGGCCCTGCTCCTGGGGACGCCGGCCACATCTGCAGCACCGAAGCGGAGGGGGAGCTCCTGCAGCTGGCGCCGCGGTGGGCGGTGGGTGGCCAGAGCCAGCAGGCCTAGGCCCGGGCCTGCTTCCTGCTGGCCAGGCACCACGTGCACCTCAAGCAGCCCGAGGAGGCCCTGCCCTTCCTAGAGCGGCTGCTGCTTTTGCACAGGGACCCGGGAGCTCTAGATGCTGCGTGGCTCTCAGACTGCTGCCTACTCCTGGCTGACATCTACAGCTGCAAGTGCCTGCCCCACCTGGTGCTGAGCTGTGTCAAGGTGGCCTCATTGAGGACATAGGACTCGCTGGCCGGCTCGCTGGGGAGCGTGAACCTGGTGCTCCAGAACGCCCTCCAGCCCCACGGCCTCCCCACCCAGACTTCCCACTACCTCAGGCGAGCGCTGGCCTCCCTAACCCCGGGCACAGGCCAGGGGCTGCGCGGCCTTCTCCACGCCAGCCTGGCCCAGCTGTACAGCCACCATGGCTACCACGGCCCGGCCATCACCTTCATGATGCAGGCGGTGGAAGCCAGTGCTGTTGCCGGAGTCCGTGCCATCGTGGACCGCCTGGTGGCCCTGGCCTGGCTGCATGTGCTTCATGGGCAGAGCCCGGTGGCCCTGGACATCCTGCAGTCTGTCCAGGATGCAGTGGTGGCCAGTGAGGACCAGGAGGGTGTGATTGCCAACATGGTGGCTGTGGCTCTGAAGAGGATGGGCCGGACTAGGCAGGCAGCCGAGGGCTACTACCGCGCCCTACGGGTGACTCCGGACCTGGGCCAGCGGAGGAACCAGGCAGTGGCGCTGGCCAACTTCGGGGCCCTGTGCCTGCACGCAGGTGCCAGCAGGCTGGCCCAGCACTACCTCCTGGAGGCCGTGTGGCTGTTCTCGAGGCTGCCCTGCAGGGAGTGTGGCCGGGACTTCACCCACGTGCTCCTGCAGCTGGGCCACCTCTGCACCCGCCAGGGCCCGGCCCAGCAGGGCAAGGGCTACTATGAGTGGGCCCTTCTGGTCGCTGTGGAGATGGGCCACGTGGAGAGTGAGTGCCCCGGTTCCTCCTGTGCGCCTTCCGGGGCCACTTGGGTCAGGGCACACCTGGGGTTTGTGATTCAGAAACAAGTGGTGGTTTTTCCACCATCGAAAGTGCTGAGTCGTGGCCAACAGCAGATGTTGGCAAGAGCCCTAGAGACAGGCAGTTCCCATGCAGGGCCAGGCCCTCTGTGCCCTACTGGGGCAGCCAGCTCTTCCCGGTTTGCCCAGGGACCATCCTGCCTTGAGCACTGAAAGTCCTGCATGCTGGGAATCCCTAGACATAACCCTGGGATCAAGGCAGGCTCTGCTGAGCTGGGACTTGGGGCCCCTGCATGAGCCAGGCCCTGAAAGCCAGTTCTTGTGCCCATGTTATCTGCTTGGTATCTCGGCAGCCTGCGCACCTGTCATCCCACTTCACAGAGGACACAGGGGCGGGTGATTGCCCAAAGCCGCAGAGCAGTTCATGCAAAAGCAGCTCATTGTGCAGAGTGTGCCAGGCCCCACCCACAAATGGGGCTTGTGGGGTCCTCGGGTGGCAGGGGCTGAGCATGGGAATGTGAGCTTCAGGCCAGAGAAGCCACAAAAGGGTGAGTGGCATGATGGCGGGGCAGCACTTGGCCCAGGCTTAGGGAAGCCTCTTTAGTCTGGGACCAGAGGGTTGAGAGGATTTAGTCAAGTAATAGGTGGTGGGGGAGGGGCTGGTGGTATAGCCTGTGTGAAGGCCCAGGGGTGAGCGAGTGGGGGTGAGTGAGCGGGGATGAGTGGGGTGTGAGTGGCGGTGAGTGAGTGGGGGTGTGATGGGGGTGAGTGAGTGGGAGTGTGAGCAGGGATGAGTGGGATGTGAGTGGGGGTGTGAGTGGGGGTGAGTGAGCGGGAGTGTGAACAGGGATGAGTGAGTGGGGGTGAGTGAGCAGGGGTGTGATGGGGTGAGTGGGAGTGTGAG